AGGTTGGTGAGAGCAGTAGACGCTCTGGTGAGGAAGAAGATGTTGATCCTGGACATGAAGCTTCGGATATCAGAGAAGAAGATATCCTGTCAGTCGAGGATAGCCTGGAACGGCAACAAAGTAGGGGTGAAAGCATCGGTAATGAAGGCGATGAAGAGGAATCGGAAAGGCTTGGGGAAGGAGAAGATGATGACGAAGAAGAGGACGAGAACGACGAGGAAATTCGGGCCGACTTCAATCTTGCTGCTCAGATCGCAGAAGAAGAGTGTCTCGACGAGGAATACAACTCAGATCAAGATGATCCGAAATATCTAGAACCCCAAGAAATCCCTAGCAGTTATGAGATAATCGAATCTTTTGTGGATCCGGTATGGTTGCAGACAGCTACCGAGAAAGACTATTGCCAACATGGTAAACGCTTCTACCGTCTACCTGACGGCTATGAACTCAGATTACCAAGTGTAGGTCAAACGGCTTTGGACTGCCCTCCTGGCCACATTGTTGTCTACGCCAAACATTTCGAATTTGGTTTATGGTTTCCACTCCATCACTATATTGAAAAAATATTCAGGGCTTGGAATGTATCAATTGCGCAGTTAACGCCTCCAACCATCCGAAATATAGTCTCTCTTGTCTGGGTTATGATATTTATGGACTTTCCCCTTACCTTGAACTTATTTCGGAGTTTGCACTGGATAAAGAGAGATAGCCAGTCACCCGGATGGTGGTCTCTTTTTACTGCTCCCGGGAAATGCACCGTGTGGCCAAAATTGACCAGTTGTAAGAACTGGAAGAAATAATTTTATTTTTATGAGTGTTCCCGATGATTTTACCGTCCGTAGGACATTTTACCACCCTCATAGTATGTTCGAGACCATACGGTCGAGAGCGTTAGGAAAGTTGGAGAAAAAAGCTTTTAGATGGTTTAACTGTACATATGTTAGTGCTGGTAAGAAGAATAAAGTTGTTCCGGGGGTGTGGTTGCCCCATTGTAATTATATACTAGGCAACGCCCCTCTATCTCATGTCGGTCTCTGCCATACCGATGCATTTGCTATGGAAATGTTTATAAATTATATACATTTACTTATATTTATCTTTACTGTATTTATGCTTTGCATTAGAAATTAATTTTGATAAGTGTTTTTCCTGCTTATTCTCTTACCTGGCTGCGTTTATTTTACTTATGACTGTTCTCTCTCTCTCTTTTTTTTTTTTAAACGTCTATGTTTACCTTTATAATGTCGGTGTATTGATGTTTGTTATCAGGTGATTTTACCACCAGGTATTGACAAACTCGACTACAACCGACTAGGGTTGTATCCTGACGGGAGAGTGAAGCAACAGTGCCCAGATCGGCCAAAAAAAGTCATACGACACCCTTCCCGTTTTCGCCACAAGAGCCTAAAAAAAAAAGAACGAGACAGCAAGACATGGCTCCTACCGAATGTGTTGTCAAACCCCGTACCTTAGCAGTGAAAAGGGTTGGCGGCAACGCGTCAAAAAGGACGTCTGGGTCCTCCGACCGAGAGCAACAAAAGAAACAGAAAAAACGAGATGGCGATTCGGCACCTCTCCATCAGGAGGCACAAGAGACATGGCCGGAAGGGGTCGTAAATCTGGAGGACGAGACCGATCCCCATCCTCCGAAAAAGCTGACAGTCACCTTAAGGGATCCAACTGGTCCTAGGGCTAGCAGCAAGGCCAGAACCTACCAGGTGGCCAACATCAACAAGCCTCCGAGCAAGGAGAATCTAACGGTCATCTCGACACGCTCTGGCGGCCCCAGCAAATTTGCTTTCTTCCCGGCTCTTGTCGGTGACTTCATCGAGATTTCGCATGTCAGAATCCCGGAAGAAGTTGCTAACGAGTTAGTTGTACCCTTTGGTGCTGCCGGTGATCCATGGCATCCCCAGATCAATGTTAACCGTGGCGAGTCTGTTCTCTGCGACGATCCTAGCACTGGCGAGAGCATGGGCTAGAGGGTGCTAAAGGATTTGGCGACGCCAGCCGACAGGCCTGTCAACCGCGTTGCTGCCCCTTGCGACCAGCTAATGAACAACATGCTCTGGGTAAGACAGCAAAGAATCCTTGTTATTTTATTATGTTTATTTACATATGTACTATTTATGTGACTAACGGCCATTTTAACATTATCTCCAGACCGTCAACTCTGCCGTGGAGGTGGTACATGGTACCAGCACTACCAGCGTGCTGCTGATCAAGCCGAGACGAAGCTGAAGAAGGCGGACGATGCTTGCAAGGCCATTATCAAGGAGCGTGACAAGGTGAAGACCGACATGAAACTTTTGCAGAAGCAGATGTCGGACCTAAACAAAAAGCTTCAGAACCAAGAGCAGTTGCAGAAGAAGGTATCCAGCCTTGAGCAAAGTCTGGAGGATGAGAGAGAGGCTAAGGCGGCGCTGGCCGGCAGAGTGGAAAAGATGGAGCGTGAAAATCCAGGACTCAGACGCCGAGCCGTTAACCGGTTCCTACAGACTGATCTTTACGCTAACCTGCTGGTTAATCGGTATACTGTCGGTTGGGTCTCCGCGCATCGCTGTGTGTGCAAAGCTGAGGGGTGGGACTCGGCAAAATGGCTGGCCGTCGAGAAGGCTTTTAATGAGGAACTCTCCTACCAGCTATGAGAGTGAATATTTTTGACGAGCTCCCACCACATTCTGTGATAACAAACTTAGACCCACGTGAATTGCCAAAAGTGGAGTTTGATGCCGCCCTTATTAGTAGCCCTGTTATCACTCATGCTAGTAAAGATGGGTCTGTCGGTCCCTCCAACAATGAAGCTAACAAAGAGCCCGGTAAGGCGGCTGAAACAGCAGGGGAGGCCAACAAGGATTGACAAGGAGGGTAGTCACCATTGGATTTATGTGGGCCATTTGTTCTGTAACCGTTCTCTGTATTTAGAACAATTATCTCTGTCTGTATCGTACAATATTTTTCTTTTAATGTTGGATATATAGCCGATCAGATACTTTGACTTTTGAGTGATTGGTTTATTTTATGTATTACTATAATTCTTGCTATCGTGTGTTTCCTGTTTATATTATGGTCGTTATTTATTTTTTATTTTTTATATATGTATTTTTTATATCTAATATTTGATGCTTGTATATCTTGAATAGTTTTCTCGGTTTTTAATACTCTATTCTCGGTATTTTAAAGTTATCCATTACCTATACTCCCCAAGAATTTCGGCAAATTTTATTCGTAAATAAAATTTGGGAAAACTCTTTAATACCTGTAATAAACTTTGTTCTCGGTATTTTAAAGTTACCCATTACCTATACTCCCCGAGTTTTTCGGAAAAATTTATTCGTAAATAAAATTTGGGAAAACTCCGTAATGCATGTAATTAATTATCGGATGTGAAGTATACCGAGATTACATATCCAACCTTTATCAGGCCGAGCAAAGGCAGTGGATCAAACTGCACTTTCAACTCCCCTTGAGGTCCATTAATATCCATTCATTCTTTTTTCTCACTTGAACGACCGAGTCAGCTAGCTAGGCTGTGATCAGATCGTATCGAAAGTAGGTAGAGTGATTGTATTTCATAGGTACTAAAACAGTTTACAATGCTAGTGAATACCATAAGCGTACGCATGACAACATGTCATCTAAATTTATACTACGCAAAATAGAACACATTAAGCTTTACATGAAATACTTCTTTAACACACCAGCGTTCCAAACATTCTTCAGGGGCATTCCTTCTAGGGTCATTAGCCGATAAGACCCTTGCCGAAGTGTTTCATATATTTGATAAGGCCCCTCCCAAGTTGCAGTAAGTTTTCCCTCTGCGTTCCCTTTGTCGGTTGCGGCCGTTCTACGCAAAACTAAGTCTCCATCTTCCATGGGCCGATAATTGACGCGCCGATTATAAGAATGGCTCATCCGGTTTTTGTATGCAGCAGATTTTATGGCGGCCGTCAGCCTCACTTCCGGTAGAAAATCCAATTGCTGTCGAAGCAGCAAATCATTTTGACTTTCACAGAAGTGTTGTACGCGGAAAGTAGGCGGTCCCACTTCCGCCGGAACCACTGCTTCCGAGCCGAAAGCAAGGTTAAAAGGTGATTCCCCCGTAGTTTCTCTCGTTGTCGTACGATTTGCCCATAAAATCTTGGTTATCAGATCCGCCCACAGGCCTTTGGCGTCCTCCACCTTTTTCTTGACTGCCCCTAGTATTTTCTTGTTAGCGGCCTCGGCTTGCCCATTTGACTGCGGGTGACATACCGCCGCATACGCAAATTTTACTTTATAAATGCTGAGAAAATTTTTTACCGGACCACAATCAAATTGAGAGCCGTGATCAAACACCATTGCAGTCGGCAATCCGAATCGGGTGAAGATGCTCTTCCAGATGAACTTCTTCCCCTCGTTCGCTGTGATCTTTGCTACCAGTTCCGCTTCTATCCACTTGGTGAAGTAGTTTATCCCTACAATAAAAAATTTACGGCCACCCTTTGCTGACGTGAACGGCCCGATAATGTCCATTCCCCATTGAGCGAACGGAATTGGGTTAAGAATGGGTGTTAAATCATTTGGAGGTTGATTAATCACCGGCCCATACTTCTGGCATTTATCGCATTTTTTAACGTACTCAATGGTGTCTGCGTTCATTGTCGGCCAATAGTAGCCCCGTTTCACTGCCTCCAGCGACATTGACCGACCCCCCGCATGATTACCGCAATCGCCCTCATGTATTTCTTCTATCAGCCTTGCCGATTCGTACGCCGTTATACACCTTCGCAATGGTAGTGAAAACCCCCGTTTATACAATGTTCCCCGAAACATAATAAACCAAACGTTGTCCTTCTTGATCTTTCTCGCCTCAATCTTATCGGTGGGCAGGACGTTGTGTACTTTGTAAGCTAAGATTTCGTCATACCATTCTCGACCTTCGCTTGTACAATGTACATTTTTGGGAGACTGTTCATCAATACTCTTTTCTTTCAAAATTTCTACCATCACCGTCCTCTCTAAATCGTTAAAGCTTGAATTGCAAGTTTAGCCAACGCGTCTGCCTGCGTGTTCATTGCTCGAGGAACCAATTTTATTTCGAAATACTCCAGATTAGATGTAACACTCTTGAGTTTTGCCAGATATGCCGTCATGCTCGGCTCTCGAGTTTCGTAAGTGCCATTAAACTGATTTGCCACCAGTTGCGAGTCAGTTATCATCTCAATACGCTTTGCTTCCGCAGATATGCATAGTTGTATTCCTGCCAAGGCTTCTTCATACTCTTTCTCATTATTCGAGGCTTTGAATTTGAACTTGACAGCATACTCGAACACATCTCCTTGGGGAGAGATCATAATTACTCTAGCCCCTGAGCCGGTTGAAGCAGATGAGTCGTCAACTGATACCTTCCATGTGTCGGTACCCTCCTCTTCTTCATAATAAGATGTTTCTACAATGAAGTCAGACAAGGCTTGGGATTTGATTGATACCCTTGGTTTATACGTAATAACGTATTCAGACAATTCAATCGCCCATTTAAGCAGGCGGCCAGATGTTTCCATCTTCTGCAAAGACCTCTCTAACGGTTGATTTTTCAGAATATCAATTACATGTGCATTTAAGTAAGGTCGTAATTTTCGCGCAGCCACAACTACTGCGTATGCGATTTACTCCCCTAACGGATACCGTCTCTCGGCAGCATTTAATACGTGGCTCACAAAGTAAATTGGCAGTTGGGTTTTTTGTCGTTCTACTAGGAGCACTGCTGCTACCGTCTTTGCTGACGTGGAGATATACAGCTATAATATTTTTCCCTGTTCCGGTCTTGAGACAGTGGGTAAGGACCTCAAGTGATTTTTCATAGCCTGTAACGCCTTGGATTACTCCTTCCCCCATACAAACAGTTTGTTCTGGCGCAAGATCACGAAGAACGGTAAGGCGTTTTTCAGCTGACGTACTGATAAATCTCGTCAATGCAGCCATTCGACCAGTGAGCTTTTGTACATCTTTTATACACTTTGGTTCTGGTAAACTAAGAATTGCCTCGATCTTATCGGGTTTAGTGTCTATCCCCCTTTCGCTTACCACGAACCCGAGAAACTTTCCTAACCGAACGCCGAACACACATTTCTCCGGATTCAACTTCATCCGATAGCGCCGAAGAGTTTCAAAACTTTCTCTCAAATCGGCGACGTGATCTGTAACCAAACGGATTTTCACAATTGAATCATCCACATATACTTCTACATTCCTTCCTTTCTGGTTTGCGAATACCTTGTCGACCAGCTTCTGATACGTTGCCCCTGCATTTCTTAACCCAAACGGCATAGCCCTGTAACAGAAAACCCCAGCATCGGTAATGAATGCCGCCTTGGTTCGATCTGGCTCATATAAGCTGACCTGATGATATCCGGAGAAAGCGTCCATGAAACTCAATAGTGCGTGACCGGAAGTGGAATCTACCAGTCTCTCTATCCTCGGCAAGGGATAGCAATCTTTCGGGCAGGCTCTGTTCAAGTCCGTAAAATCCACGCACATTCTCCACTTCCCTGACGGCTTCTTAACCATAACTACATTTGCTAGCCATTCGAGATATGTGCAGGGTTCAATAAACCCTGCCGCTAGCAATTTGTTTACCTTTGACTGAATAGCCTCTATTTTCTCTGTTGAGAAGTTCCTTTTCTTCTGTCGAACATGTCTTGCTCTTCTGTCGACATTTAACTTATGTACTATGACGTCAGGATGTATTCCAAGCATCTCATCTGCCGAGAAAGCAAACACGTCAGCACTTTCTCGTAACAATTCCACCAAATGGCAGTGCGTGTCGACATCCATATCGGATCCAACGCGCACTACCCTCCCGGGGACCCCAGGCTGCAACTCGATCTCTACGGTCTCGCCTCCTAGGGAAGGACGTGTCGCAGTTACCGGCCGAGTATCGAAATTTTCCATGGCCAAATCATGTGTAGAGGGAACTCGTTCTCGCTTAGATGGTGTCTGTTCGCAGGTATGTTGCCGGCTTGATTGTTTTAATGCTGAAACATAACACTCTCTTGCCATAGTTTGACTCCCCCGTACGCGTTCTGTCATTCCAGCGTTGGATACATATACCATCGTTAAGTGGTATGTTGAGACTACAGCTTGCATGTCATGAATTAAAGGCCTACCGACAATAGCGTTGTAGGCGGATGGCACATCAATCACCAAAAACTCTGCCATAATATCTCTTACTGTTGGACCTTCTCCCATTCTAACCTGAAGAACTATACTACCTTCAGGTCTTATCGTTGACCCGTTGAACCCTATCACGGGATAAGACACTGGCGTTAAGTATTTTCGGCCAATTCTCATGGCATCAAAGGCTCTAGCAAATAGGATATTGGCGGAGCTTCCGCTTGATGTCTGCTCCATTAACCGTCAATACCAGTACCAACGGATCATCATGAGGGAAGACTATTCCCTTAGCATCTTCCTCCGAAAAGGATATCGAAAGCATGGGAGAAGGTCGAGGTCGTTCCTCTACGCTCAATGCGTTCACTAGGTGTCGGTATTCCGACAAACTTTTCTTCTCTCCGCTTACGGAACCCCCGTATACTGGTCCGCCGGTAATAACATCGATTGTTATTTTGCGCCTTGTCGGAATACTTCCCTGCCTGGATGTTTCCGCATGATTCTGTCTATAGGCGTCATCTTGCATTGATGAATCTCCCTGCTTTCGGTACTCAGTTTGCCTGGGTTGTGCAGTTTGCTGCCGGCTGGGACCTGTTTGAGTACGATACTGAGACAATCGCCCTTTTCTTATGAGATCTTCAATGTTCTCTTTTAATTGAACACATTCTTCGGTGTAATGACCGACATCTCTATGAAACATGCAGTATTTCTTCACGTCCCGGCCTTTCGTTATCATCGGCGCCGGCCGACTCCAATCTTCTTTATTCTGGTTTACTAAATAAATTGCCGCTCTCGGGGTATTTAACTGCATATAGCTGCTATAACGGCCCAATCCCCTCGCCAGCCTTCCAGATCTCTGTTGGCTCTGCGGCTGCAACCTACTTACCCCGCCCGTCTGGGCGTTTGGGCTATTATCATTCTGCCTCCTGGAGGCTCTGCTGACGATATCTGACGGCTCGTTTTCAGCAGCTCCTCACTTTTTATGTATTCGTGAGTCTTGGCAAATGCTACCCCTAAATTTGGGAAAGACTTTCGCGACATGTATTTTTTGAAATCGTTGTCAACCAGCCCATTCATCAATGTCATCACGGCAATTTCTTGTTGTAACTTTGGTATGGTATTAGCCTCGTTGTTGAAGCGCCTAATGAAATCCCTGAGCGATTCCTCTTTCCGTTGTTGAATAGCCATGATCTCACTAGATGTCCTTTGTCTTGCACTATTACTTATGTATTGACCCGTGAACAACTCCACCAGGGTCTCGAAGCAGTCAATTGACCCCGGCTCTAAATTGGAGAACCAATCTAAAGCTGCCCCGGTAAGGGTTGTAGGGAAGACTTTACACCACAAAGCATTGGTATCTGTATATAGCAACATGTGACTCTCAAAAGCTGCTACATACCGCTTAGGGTCCCCCTTACCGTCGTATGTACAGGATGGCATCTTTATTTTCTTCATCTGTTGGTCAAGTACCTCTTGTGTGAACGGAGATATCCTGGGCCTAATGATCACCCTGGTTGTCCGCCTTTCCAATCCGCTGGAAACCTCATGCCGATAAGAACCTGAATCCCCCACTTGGGCGCCTTGTGTGATTTGGCGCTCAGCCGGTATGGTCTCTCGGCCCCGGCTCCTTGACAGGGGTTGCTGTCCCGCCTGATTGAACTGACTCTCAAGGTTCACTATTAGCGGCTTTGCCGGTACATCACCCAATACCTCCCCTGCCGTTAACTCGGCTTCCTTTCTTTTCTTAGACATAGCCCGCATAACCTTAGCCGTTATCTCCAGTTTCTCCGGGGTAAACCCTTCCAAAGGATCTGAGGTTACTGCTCTATTGCGGTTAGGCGTTATTGGCATGTTTGTTGTGTTGCCGTGAAGGAGATGAGTTTCGTCTTTGATCACGATTTCTGGTAGGCTGTTTACAGTTTTATTCGCGTTAGCATTAAAGATACTGTTATCATATTGTCGGTTTTCAACTTCCGGTACTGGTACTGTAGCTTCTTTACTTCCTTCCATGACTGTGAGAGGTTCTGTTGGACGATAGAAGTTATTACTATCCCCTCCTTCTAGCGCCAATTGTTCCTGTTGAATTCTGCTTCCGTCAATGTCCGAGGGCTGGTAATGGTTTACCGTCCAATTACACACCTACACAGCCAATACAGATTAGCTGGCCCGGGGGTTATCCGGGAATAACCACTCCGATGCTAAAGTCAGTACCTTTGTGAGAAGAAAGAGAAAGAAGAGAGAGAATGAAGAGAGAGAAAGTGTTTTTAGAGAGAGAGATTCTACCTTTGAAATGGGGATTTGCTTGGATATTTACAGAAACACAACTAAGCAGGTGTCACCTATATAGATAGGTGGCACACCGACCTTATAGGCAACAGGTGCCTACGTGGCCCTAAGCAACTCTCCACGTGCCAGAGGGACATGCTACGTGACGAGAAGCAGCTCTCCACGTGGCATAGACCGATGCCGATAAGGACATGGTTTATTCACCGATTAACGAGGGCTTAAACTGCACAAACACTCTTTTACCGGCTTTATGAAGGATGCTACCGGTATATCCCGTACACTAGCTTGTATCATGCTTGGTTTTTGTTAGTGTATGATACTTATTTGCATTATGTCTTGTAACAACAGTGTATTGCAATTGCATTTAAACATTTCTTAATGGTTGATAATCGTGTTTAGTTTTGCATCCTCTGTTTTGAGATGTTATGATATTTTATCCATGTAGTACATAAATTCAATTTATAGTATGATAAAATCCAATACTATGAAATTAATTTGGTGGAGTTTGTACAAGAGTCTTAGAAATAAACCTTGAAATCATTACAAATAGGAAAACCTTCATTAATACACATAGTAACTATAAGCTTGATTTCAATCGAACCGTATTTTTCGAACTGTCTTAGAGCATCATTAGTGTTGGGGATACTTATATCCTTTCCCGGTTTCTCTCTCCTTTCCTACACTTGACACATCACTTTCTCTTTCCTCCATATCACTTCCCACTATTTCCATCCTTTTACTCATCCTTTCCCTTAAAAATTTCCAACATCAATGAGTATCCTTTCCCACTTTCTCTCTCCTACTTACATATACCCCACCATTTATTCCTTTTTCAAATTACATATATTTATTAATATACTTAATTATTATTATTGTTGAAAATGTTGTTAATAATAATTAATAATATATCGTTCTATTAACCGACACATTAATTAAACGAGACGAATTCAAAAACATAAAATTCATTGATTAAAAACATGAAATACATTGATTAAACGACACGAATAAAAAAAACATGAATTACGTTGATAAATAGCAAAGAAAATAACAAACATAAGTTTAAAAATAACTGAAATGTTTAATTTTCATCGGACCTCATAGACTGTGCCCATAAATGCTCGATCAAGCCGTTCTTCAAAGCCATATGGACGTCTCTATCACGAATTTCCCCTCTCGAAGCTATCAATCTACCGAAATTATCTGGATCATACTGTCCGAGAGTTACAGTGAATGTTGTTGCATTCCTAGTTGAGGACGACCCCGGCATATTCTCAGGCTGTTCATCGGCAAACTCGGGTGGATCCTTATAATTTAAATATGTATCACGCTCGTCTTCATCAATCATGTTGTGGATAATGATGCAAGTCATCATAATTTTCCACAACAGATCTACACTCCATGCCAAAGCAGGCTTCCTGATTATTGCGAAACGAGCATGTAACACACCAAAAGCACGCTCAACATCCTTTCTCGCACTCTCTTGACGTTCAGTAAATAACGTATCCTTAGCTGTTTGAGGGGCAGTAACCGCATCTATAAATGTCGACCACTTTGGATAAATCCCATCGGTGAGATAGTATCCTTTTGTGTAAGTATTTCCATTAACTGTGAACAGAACTTGTGGAGCACGATTATTTATTATATCATCAAACACAGGAGAACGTTGTAGTACATTAATATCGTTGCACGACCCAGGAGTCTCAAAGAAGGCGTGCCAAATCCATAAATCCCTAGATGCAACCGCTTCCAAGATAACAGTGGCCGTTTTAGATCGGCCTTGATACATTCCTTTCCATCCAGCTGGACAATTTTTCCATACCCAATGCATGCAATCAATGCTTCCTAGCATGGCGGGGAAGTTTCTATCCTCCCCTTCTCTTAGAAGACGCTGGATATCTTCCATAGTTGGCTTGCGGAGGTACTCAGTTGCAAACTGAGCAATAACTCCATCGACAAATTGTGAAAGACATTCTTTAGCAGTACTTTCACCAAGCTTTAGATATTCATCTACTTGATCAGCTGAACAACCATAAGCTAACATACGTATAGCCGCGGTGCATTTTTTAAGGGGTGAAGCACCAAGACGCATGGTAGCATCAGGACGTTGTTGGAAATAGCGATTACTTGCACTTAATGTGTCCACAATGCGAAGGAACAGGGGTCTCCTCATACGAAACCTCCTTCGAAATACGGTATCATTGTATACCGGTTGATTACTAAAGTAATCTGCAACTAGATTGTCGTGAGCCGCTTCACGATTTCTAGGCACAGTTACCCTTCGTTTTCTCGGACGTTTTTGCTTTTCAGGTTGTAATGAATTAAGCACTGAATTTTGCATCGCAACTAAACGTTGACTCTCATTTATAAAATTCATGACCATGTGATCATAAATTTTATCAGTTATACTTGAGGAGGAAGAGCTTGAAGAACTTGAAGAGATTGAATCTAAGCTCATATTGTGTTTGGTGTTTTATTTTTGGTGTGTTTGTTTGTGACACTAGAAGATAGAAATCATGTACTTTAAATAGACAAAAATAGGATATTCGAAATACGATATCCCGCTAATTCTTCAACATGTTCACCACTTAACTCTATTGGAGTAGCATTGCTACTACAAACTCCACCTGGAGATTGATTCATATTTTGAGTTAAATGTTCTGATATAGGGAAAAAAGGGGTATTACCAAAAGCTTGTTGATAGGATTGGGAATTATGAGGTAAATTTGGTTGTATTGGTGGAATATTATTGAAATTTGTTGGTCTTGGTTGACTACTACTACACCATTGAAAAAATACAGCTTGAATTTGAGGATTACTCAACAGATTAGGGTCAACAGGAGGATTAGATTGGTTAAATTGAAAGTTTGAATTGTTAGGAAAATTCGGGTTACGACCGTAATTAGAATTATTACGATCCATATTGAAGACTCTAAGAAATTGGAAGTGAAATGGAGAAAAATAAACTTGAAAATATGGAGATTAGAATAATTTTGTGTTTAAGAGTATTGTACAAGTGAAACTGAAATTTTGTGAAAATATAGCAAATTTATACTCATTTTATAGACAAAAAAATTTTATGACCATTGGTGTTTTCGGATTTCAAAAATAAGTTACCGTTTGCAAATTATAGCCGTTATAATATTTTGGAGCAAAAAAAAATCAAAGCCAATAAGATGCTGCCACTTGTCGGAATGAAGTATGACAAAAAATTGAAAAAAAAAAAGGAACTAGCCGTTGGAGATTGCAGCACGCGTGAGTTGTTGAATATTTTAATGTGTAATTTTGCACAAGGGACGAGGTAAGCTTCCTTTTACCAGAAAGGAAATGGGTCATTCCTCTTTTTAAGAGGATCCTTTCCCAACACACAACATTCATCAGGATTGACTAAAGGGTCCTAAAAGGATTGGGAAAGGTCCCGATGCTGCTGCTCTTAGAGGCTAGGATCAACTTCAAAAACTTTGCATAAGAAAAAAAAAAAAAATTAAACCACAGAAAATAAGAGGATAACTTGAAATTAAAGTAATTAAGGAGAAAAATCTAATAAGTAATACTTCAAACACTTTTCAACATGATTATTAATAAAATAAAGGGTAGTAGCAGATATTTCTCAAAATCATAATACAAACACTGTTCTCTCTTTAAACGGACCGAAAATACTAGAACCATCATATGAAATTCACCTTTATTAATCTATATCATCTAAAGATACCAACAAACTCATCAAACCAACCAAAGAACTTAACCAGTTACTGATTTGATTATATACTACATTAATCATCAGCACTCAATTGTAATTTAACATCAAAAACAATACGCTTCCTTGCCGATATTGTAGTATAGCCCCTTCATTAACTTGGACTTCATAATAATCAATTAATCTATCAACTCCATTCTTAATAACACACTGGATCATAAGAATGAGTATTATGGTTTTAAAATATCTTAGAATAGTATGACTATAACATCAGAAGATTATATAAAGAATCATCTAAGGGAAGATTGCAATAGGATTGTAGGAGGCATGAGCAAATAGAAGAAACATAGAAAGAAAAGGGCACACATAAGGCATTAATTCTCGTACAAAAGACTGACATACCTCATATATTCGTGTGTGACTATAACAAAGGGACTTGAAAAAGTGATTAGCTGTTGTAGAAGGAAAGGATTGTGAGTGGGGAAACTTGAGTACTGAACATTAATATATTTTTTTTCTTAATTTGAAGGTTTTATTTTGTACAAGGAAGGATGATAGCTAGAACAATGGACAATTTTTAAACCCGTGTAAAAGTTAAATTTAGGATTGTTTTGCATGGTTTTCTTTAGTTGCTTATTCGTTAAAGGTGCAATCCATTCATCTGATTTTTACTTATCTAATCTTATTTTAATTCATCTGAACTTATCTGATAATATCCGAATTTATCTAAACTTATTAGTCCTTATTAAAACTTACTTTAGTTATAGATTAAACTTGGGTAGCCATAATTAACCCTTATCACAACTAATCTGAACTTAATTTTTCTGAACTTATCTTATCTAAAATTATCTGAACTTATTAACCCTTATGGCCTTATATGAACTTATTAACCCTGAAATAAGTGGAAATAAGGTGAACAGAATAGGGCCTAAATGGATTCTTACATTTACTAATTATTAGAAAAAATATGAGTTAGTAACATTTTGTAAATATATGCATTTATGCAAATAAGTAAAGTATAAAGATAACTTTATGTACGAAATATAAAAAGGGGAAATAGTCGTGCACGCATTGCGTGCGCCTCTAAACTTATAAAATTTAATTTCACCATCCAAGGAAAATTTTGTTCTGAATAGCCACTTTCTAGCCTTTAAAAAGTCTCAATTTACGTGCAAAAAAATGTTGAATTAAGGTTGATGAGGGTCATTTGGAATCTAGACTTATTTGAGATCAAAACTAATAAAAAAACTAAAATGACTCATTTTGTGTGGCGAAAATGCCTCAAATTAATTGTGTGTTGCGATAAATGTGGGAAAATTGATCAATTAAAGTTTTATGGGTCAATTTAATACCAATTAAGGATCAAACTTAGCAAAAAAATTATCATAAATATCTTGTTTGGGTCAATTAGGTAATTTTTTTGCTAATTTAAACCTCAAATTTGACTCAAATGTGTTTCATGGTATGTAAAACTAGGCTTCTATAGTAAATTTATGTTAATTTTGACCTTAAATTTGAGTTTTGACCCGTAAGAGCCAAAATAATCTCTAAAAGTTTAACCGAACAAATTTATTGATTTGAAATTATAAACATGCAAACAAACATTTCTTGACACGCAAAACAGAAGTTTTAAGAAATTTTTTGTGACCTTTAACCCCCAAAAGGTTTAATAGAGCTGGAGATGGAGAAAATAATTTTCAAAGGCTGAAAAGTTGTTGCAAACAATTTTCTTGGTGGAAACTCATAAGCGGTGGTTTAACGAATTTTTTTGTATTTCTATATAAAAATTAGAACAGAGTGTTAAATAAAAAAATAGGGTTTTTTGAGGTGGCATAAGATACAATTTTTCCTTGAAATTTCATCTTTCAAAATAAAAAAAATGTTCCAAGTTCTTGATAGAGTATAACAGAATAACAAATAACAGAACATAATGTCTGATAATACTCTGCAATTTATTAACAAAAACAAGTACAGCAGAAAAAAATGCACGCATAAATTCTTACCCTGATCATAAATGTGAAGAAAAACCATACAGGAGGGCTCGAGGACCTCCGAAAGAAAGCTCTAGACAGGAAGAACATATTTTTTGACTCTGAAGTCTGAAAGAAGACAGCATAACAGATATTACTGAAATAGATCTGATATAGCAAAGTAAGGCACTTTGGTTTCACTGAAATGTTTCTAGAATGTTGTGACTTGTGATAACACATCTGTAAAGCTACAATGCTGGGAAATCGAGTTGATATAAATGATTAGTATTACTCTGCTGAATTACTGAAATAGTGAAACTTAAAAAACATGGCACACTGAGTAAATTTACGAAATTCATAATTAAAGCATATATTCGTGCAAGTAAATCCACTAATTCTGAAGGTCAAATGCTTCTAGTTTGTTATCACTTAAGTGATGTTACAGGTGATGGATCAGTTCAATCAGACTTCATGTTGCTTTCTTCTCATAAATTACATTAAAAATTCGGTACAAAAAATGGATGAATCTAAAAAATAAACTACAAATCATGCAGAAAGTGACAGATTACTTTGAGAAAGGATATTTAATCCACTGCCATCTAAAAACTCCCAAGCTATCCTTATTATCAAATTAGTATATCAACTCTAACAGCATACAATCTAACTCTTACGAGCTTTAGGTTTCATCGAGATGACATTCGTTGCTGCAAATCATCAGCCAATATCTGCCTCAAGTTCTCACCATAATAGTAGAATGATCTCTCACTCTCCAAGACCCTAGGAGGAGACCCGTTCTCCTCAGGCTCCTTAAAAAGTTCAGGCTCAGGTTCCCTTGCGATCTGACACAAATTATGCAACACACAACAGGCCACAATGGTTTGAGGAGCATGATGAAGGCCCACATTAAGATCCTGCAAAATTTTCCACCTCCCTTTGAGAAGCCCTATTGCCTCCACTGAGGCTGACCTGGCCTTCATCAGAGCAGCATTGAATATATTTTGGGCAGGGGTGCCTCTACCAGTTCCAGAAAACGGGGTCAGCAGGAAAGAGAGCAATGGAAAACACCAATCCCCAACAATGTAGGGCCTAACAGGATGTCCCCTCACATTGACGACTTTATCCCAGACAACATCACCAGACATGAGCTTATTGTAGAGAACACTATCCCTGAAATGAGTGGAATCATCAACACTCCCTGGAGCCTTGACACAAACATCCCAGAAGATCTTCTTATGGTCAGCCACCACCTGGAGCTGTATGGCAGGGTACCCATATCGACAATGATAAGATGAAGGGTCACTGACATCAGTAGGAAGGCGATGGAGCTTGACAGGGGTGGAATCAATTGCACCGCACAAATTAGGCAGCGATGTGAGCTCCTCAAAGGCCTGGGTGGTCTCATGGAGGCGTCGGCGACCAGCAGGGATCTTAATGAACTCAGGGTAAAGTTTGGTAGAGAGGAGACGGGTGACCATGTTGGTTATTTTGGAAACAAGGTAAGGGTCCAAGGAATGGCGCTTGGCAAGGGTTTTAGCAGAGAGCCCATGAGTGAGACGGGAGAGAACCATGGCAACAGCATAATCAGGGGGAAGGGAGAGATTGGACTGGGCTATGTGAGGCTTGAGCTTATCAACAACAGTAGTGAAGACAGGGTAGGAGAGGCCATATGAAGAGCGCCACTGTGCATCACGAACAGGGGGGTCCATAGACCATATGAGCTCAGTAGATAAGGCTCGGAAGGCAGAGAGGGAGTGATCCGAAGGGGAAGATGAGCGAGAGCGAGATGGAGAACGGGAGGAAGAGGAAGGAGAGGAAGAAGATGGACGAGAGGCAGCAACAAAGGAGAGAACTGAGGCAATTGTGAAGAAGAGAAGAGGAGCGGCAGAGGAGGAGGTGAGGAGAGAGGAAAGAGAGGTTGTAGTGGAGGCTGATAAGGACGCGGCATCAGAAGAGAAGAGGGAGGAGGAGGGGTCCAAGTGGTTCTGTAAGTGAAGCAGATTTGTCAGCATCACCAGAAACCCTTGATCCATCGCCTCTATTTCGATGGAAAATGTCAAGGCTATGAGCACATCTCAGTCCTTACAGAGAAGGAAACTAAAGTATAGTCTCAAAACTTCTACTCTCAACAACCCAAACAGATCAAAAATTGTTCATGCTATCCAGTCAGTGGAGTCAGGCACAGCTAAATCTGCATAAAGAAAGAGAGTCTTACGATTTAGAATCACAAACATCCTTCTTTAATGAAGTAAGCTCCTGCATTTTTCCATAGATTACGTGCAATAAAAAGAAACTAGACATACCACCATACCCAAATTTACAAACTCATAAAATGATAGAACTACGATTACTAAGCTACCCAGTACAACCACAATATCATTACATTACATTACAAACATCACCAAAAACAATCATCGCAATTAAGAAAATTTCCATCAACTAAAGAGTATGAAATCAAAGAGAATACATGCTCCTAAATTACTGATCTATAGGACATGAAAGCGACGAAGGAACTTTCCATTAACTAAAGAGTAAAAAGTTAATGTATATGCTTCTAATTACTAATTATAGGAAATGGGAAAGATCATTCAGTTAATCCAACATAAATTCCTTCATCTTCGTCTCCAAATTATTTCCACTTTCTCGATCCCCTAAGACACCTAATCAAGCCTGTGCTTAAAGAATCAACCTTTCCAACCGAAAACCCACAACAGGGAATATAGGCATTGATATGAATAACAACAGACTACCAGGAAAAAAAAAAAATCAAATTCCCCTTCTCATTCAACAATCTCTGGAGGTTAACTAAAATAATTAAAAGGTTAATACATTCCACAATCTCACATTTATCTAAACAATCAACAAAATATTTCTCGATTTTTGTTTTCAAGTAATCTAAGTAATATCATACTAGAAAACCTGAAACTTGAACTTCTTTAATCATTCATATAGAAAGCCAGCACCAAAACCCTAATCTTAACCCTAATTTAGAAATACCTTGACAACATCAGATATAAGAAATTGAAAACCCTATACCCAAAAAACTCAATCGGTGATGAACAATAGCAAAACCATAATTCATCAGAAAAAATACCCAATATTCTCCAAAATCAACAATTGAATTCCTTTTATACTTGGAAAAATTACAAAAAAAGAAAAACATATCAAGAAATTGAATAGTTTAGAATCAAATACAATTAAAACAGATAAATAATGAAAAAATTTAACCTTGAGAAAAGTAGGGAGATTGTTGCAACGAAATTGCCGGCGGCTGCGCGAGGAGAGAGAAAGAGGTCGGAAGTCGAGAAAAGAGGGGTAAATACTAAATAGCTTGAATAAGGCGCTTCACTTTGGCTTCAATAATACAAGTAACCAAGTGCAACCACCGTCCACCGAGCCTTCTTAATTAAAACAAGATCAGCTCTTCAAAATTAAATTAAATCAACAAATTTTCTCTAATTTCTGCTCACATTACTAAATTGAAATGTGTTAAATAAACATTGGTAGTCTGTGGATTATAGTCATGGGGACATGGGATGGAAGAAATTAGATTTAGTTCATCTAATATGAAATTCAAGTGGTTAGAGTTTTCCTCCGCCTCCATGAGATTCTGAGATCGATTCTCACCCATGCCCTCTCTAAACACCTAAAAAAAATTAATACTCCCTCCGTTTTTAAATACTTGCTCCATTTCTCCATGTGCGGAGTTTTAGGAGAAATTGGAAAAGTAATAAAATATTAAGTATGAAGGTAGTGTGGTTGGTGGAAGAATAAAAAATTGTACTACCTCTAGTTCATTTTAGTCGCAACAAAGTACAACTTTTCGAAAACCAAGGCAAAAGATTGAAAACTTGATTAAGGGAAAATAAGGGTATATGCTTAACTATTAATCCAACCTAAAAAAAAAAAACAAATTCAACTTTAATTAAATTAAATAACCCACCACCACCAACCATCACCCAAACCACACACCACCACCCAGCACCGTCGACGCACCACCACCACCACACGCACCCAGCAAACCACCGACGCACCACCACCACCTCAAGCACTCAGCAACCCGCCAACCCAGGCCACCACCAGCAACCCACGAACCCAGCCACCCCGTGAACCCAGGAACCCGCTGACACCTACCCACGAAACCAAAACCCAGGAAACCCGACCACGAGCAACCTGACCACCAGCAACCTAACCAACGAATCAAACCCACGACGCCGCCGATCCCACGACGCCTCTGATCCCACGCCGCCGCCGATCTGCAACCCCCACCGCTCTTAACACCACAAAGCCACCATGAAAATGGGGTTGGAGGAGGAGAGAGAAAATTAAAGGGGATGAGGTTTTAATTAATTAAGCTTGGGGTTTGATTAATTAAGGTTGGGTTTTAATATAATAAAATCAGATTTGTAATTTAATAAGGTTGTTTAAAAAAAGTAAGGGTATTTTGGTCAATTACCACCCAAAAACATACTAAAAAAGGAAAAAAAATAAGTTTGTTGCGAGTATATTGAACCACCCAAAAAAGGAAATTGTTGCGAGTAAATTGAACCGGAGGTAGCATAAACCCAAAAGTAGAGGAGAGAGTTGAAGGAGAGAGAATATGGAATTAATATTATTGGGTCCACTTGATGAGATAAATTAATTAAATATTGTAAAAGCTTTTCAAATAAGGAAATGGAGCAAGTATTTAAAAACGGCTGGAAAAGGAAAATGGAGCAAAATATTTAAAAACGGAGAGAGTATGAAATTTAGGATATTCGATCTCCCTAATTATTCATATACGGGCTATTTGATAGACCCATGTATAAGATACAACTAGTTGTATGGTATATGAGTTGCATCCATGCTTAAAAGTTCTTCTATATATATATATATATATTCTGTTTTTAAGTTGCGTCACTTTGTAATTTGCAAACTAAAAAAAATCCTATCATGTGATGGGAGAAAGATAGAGAGAGTATATGGACTAAAAAAGAAAAGTGATGCAACTAATTTAAAAGTTTCGTTTTTACATAACTGATGCAACTAAAAAGAAGCGGAGGAAATAAACTAAGTATTATTTAAAATTAAAAAATTAAAAAAAAAACAAATTGAATATATAAATTTTTATACATCGAAATATATTCAGAGTAATTTAGAAGATTCTATTATGAATAATACAAAAATTTAAATTGAAAAGATTTATTAGAATGAAGGGATTAATAATTTCATTTTATTGATAGGTTAGCCCAACATTGGAATTTGTTATATACATTCGGGTGTACATTTGAGATATAAGCAAAAATTAACAGGCTCTCCTATAACACACAAAGAAGGGCACATTTGAGATGCAATATACGCAAAAGTTAAAGGTCACTGCATATATATGGTTAAAAAATATTCGATTAATGTTTTAGATGTCATTGTAGCCCTTAGGGGTCTGAATTGAGTTCGGAATTAAAAAAAAATAAAGTATCTCATTTTTACAATTTCCCACAAATCAATACATTTTTGTTACACAAAACGAGACACTTGCTTTATTTTTTTGCTAATTACGAGCTCAATTCGGACCCTTAAGTACTACAATGGTCCCTAAAACCTTAATCGAAAATTTTTCGACATGTAAACCGATAAAAAAGTTAATCGGGTTGCAATTCACAGTTTAGGCGAACTGCAATTTGCAATATGAAACCTTAAATGGCTGCAATTTGCAAAAAGATGGAAGTCAATCTTTGGGACGGATGGAGAATCACTAATTACTCGAGCACGCAACTAAAAACTACCAAGTTATTTAACTTCCAAGCATTTCTTTTTTCTAGGAAGGCCTCTAATTATTGGTAAACCATAATACTTAGCACTATGGCTACCCTTAAACTGTGTATACTAAGATTATTATTCCTTAATGATGAACAGAGGATCTGGTAGTGAGGGAAGCCCTCATATTTACAATGGTGGACTCATGAGCCCCAAGCTTAACTGCCTCTTTCCCAGCTCGAAGAAACCGTGACACAGCACCTGTTACGTACTCGTGAGCTTCCTTAACATTCATTTTATCCGCCATTCCATTAGGGAAACTGCTCAAGAAATGGTCACCATTCAGAACAGCTGCTAACTGAACAATTTCGGTTTGAAACTGTGATAGCTGCCTCTCTTCGTCTGCTTCAGTCTTCCTCAGTGGAGTTACATCAGGCAGAAACTCTAAGAAACAGCAGATTAAAATGATCACTAATTTTCAAGTAATGTTAATTTTTTCGGACATCATGAACTAGTATGTTTTGTAACGGACTATTAATTCTGAACGAAAGGAGTATATGACTTACGTGGGCAATCAGTTCGGGGAGAAGTTAAATTCCCAATAACGCCCTCGAAAGTACCCGCCCATTCATCTCTGTGAGTCAAGAAATTGGAGTTGAGGTTGAATATTTTCTTAATGGTAGCTGGGATTGAAGAGTGCTCGAACTCAGAATCTGGTGTTGGTCCGTTTGGTTTACTTATCACTGCACAAAACAACAGCATCTTCATAGTCAAAATCATTAAACACTTGAACTAACATGCTAGAGGTTTTCTCACTACTTTCACAATCCAATGTCACATTGATGCCGTAATTTAAACAAATAACCCGACAGCTAAATCTTGACTAAAGTAGTAATGACGAACATATGCTAGAATAAGGAGAGCAGATCCACATGAAACTATGCTGATTAGCATGTTCTGATTAAAATCGCATTAAATTTCAAGTATAGTCCTGAATTAACCATCATCAAATCTCAACCAAAGGATTGTCCCCCAACACATGGGTTGGTACAGCATAACTACAAGTGTTAAAGACAAAGTCCCTAGTCCTCATAATGTATGGTGTCAAATTGTCAATATAAGTACTCTACCACCCTGTCGATTTGACATTGTTAACCTTGAAGACGTACAATGTCAAGCTTATCTCGATTGGGACTAATAAAATCGTAAGAAAAACATTAATTTCAGTTTTGTTCCGGATGCTAGTGTAACTATCAAAATCGGTTGAAGTGACTACGCTGAACTTAGGATTTTTAAGAAAGATGCATTATATTGTTAGACTTGTGGCTTCCTAGTTCCTACTATGGTGTCAATATAATGGCTAGGGAACTTATTGTAAAGATAACAACCAAATTATCAGCAGGATGGGCATCCGGAATTAAATCCAACCCTGTAACCTAGAGCATATTCAACAACATAACTAATGTGTCGCCTTGACTTTTACATTTGTCTCATACACAATGTTGTTCAACTAAAACCCAGGGAATTATACACTCCTTCCGTCCCACTAAAATTGTCCCATATCCCTTAGTCTACTTTAAAAGTTATTATATTATTTTCACATGAATTGTTAGGTGGAAAAATAATCCATTTAAATCGAGACAAACTAAATGAGACAACCTTTAATCCTTTATAATTGTAGGCAATCTTAGTAGAACGAATAAAGTATAGCGGGTGTAGGCATAGTAGGATCCGCAATCACAGCCTTTATAAAATGAAAAGCATTGTTTTAGCATGTTGTCGGTGCAACTGGCCAAAAAAGTTTCACAAAAGAGTCCACTACCGACCAAATAAGTAATCAATTATTTCTGCCAATACCACAAAAAAAAAAAATAGGCAATCCAATCCAATCCCATTTCACACAGAAATGAGACCAAACAAAAAGCACAACAATATACGACTACCTAACTTTCATGTAATTATAAATTTTACAACTTGGTAAACACAAAATTTCACAAGTTCATACTTTTAATTGTAATTTTCTTTTATTTTATAAACAAACAAAGAAAACAAGTGTAATTCTAAGGGTGACATTCATTATATATTGATGCATTTTATGTAAAAATAAGATGACATTTTCCGTCTCACACAGTCACACACAAGATTGTTATTCATGCTATATTAGATAAAAATAATTGTCTGTATACATTATGATACGGAGTAATAATAATATTAAAACAAAACTTAAACTAATTTTGCGAGTACAAAAGATTAATTTATATTGTGTGAAGTTAAAAAAGGTACCAGTTCCTTTGTTGATCCAAGGGGAGACCATAATAGTTGGAACACGAACACCAAGCCTATCAAACTTGAAGAAACTCGGGGGAGGAGCAGTGTTGCCGTCGGGGCTAGGTACATTGATGTAAGGTGTTTGTACATGATCATAAAACCCACCATGTTCATCATATGTTATAACCAAAAGACTTTGATTCCATTGAGGACTTGCTCTTAGTGTTTCATACACTTCCTTCACTAACTTTTGTCCATTTGCTACATCATGTGATGGATGGTCGTCGTTAGCTGGCATTCCTTTGGTATCGAAATATCTGATCCAAAATTTTCATACCCATTATTATTATAAAGTTAACACTTTAGTACAAAACTCTCGAGTTAGTTAATTAATAGTGCCATCATCATCATTGTCGTCTCCAATACATGCCAAAGTCGATGTTATTATTATTGCACGGTCCAAAACCACTATGTTCTAGTTAATTAATTAATAAGCTCGATATAAAATGACACGGTTAATAATTAAATAATTGGTTCCTCAAAGAAAAGTAATAAATATTTCCCACTCAATAAGTCAATATGGACTCTATTTAGACAAAGAATTCGAGAAAGTCTTTGTCAACAACTATTTATATTCAATTGTTCTATAGGACAATAGCAAATACTTGTTGGTACTTCTAGACCTCATAAGAGCCTATTCCAATTAACTGAAAACAATTGAACTAAATTAATTGAGGAAAAATTGAACTCAAAAACACCTGAAATGAATCCAAATGTACATTTCTTTGAGATAAAATTTAGAAGCAAAAAATATTACCTTAGACTAATATGGATTATTCCGTAACTATTATCTAGGTGCTAGTTATATTACGAGTTAACAAGTGTATCATTATTCATTAGTCATTATATAACTGAGTTAACAAGTGTATCGTTAGTCGGTCTTGAACTAATGTTACTCCATAACAATTGTCTAGCCACTCATTATGTTACGAGTTAACAAGTGTATCATTAGTCGGTCTTGGACCACGTAGTAATTATATACAACACCAACAAAGTAGTAAAGTACATAATAATAAATGAAAGAAACATAAAGACTAATAGTGGAATATGTACCTGGGTTCAATAACAGATAAGCTGGGGAGTTTACCATCATTAGCATGCTTCTTGAAAGTATAATAGAGATGAAATTTGAAAACATACTTCAACTTTCTCAAATTCCTATAAAACAAAGTACTTGGAATTGCCTGAAAATAAATCCCAAAATCCAGATTATTTTCATGCAATGAATCAAAGATAGTTTTTTGTGGGTATCCAAGAGCCAACTGTTTCTTCACATGACTAACAGCTCCATGTGATGTTCCTGAATAAACAAATAATCTGTTTGGTTGAGTTGGTCCAGGAATTGAAGAAAACCATCTATCAAAAACAGCAAATTCTCTAACTAAACTTTCAAAAACAGGCACATTTTCAGGCTTAAATCCCTTCATAACTGCTTCTGAAACATTCCCTGACATTGAGATTGCCTGTTCTATAAACCCTGTCATTGAAGGAATGCTGCTGTTTTCCCCAAATACTTGTTTTGCTACCTCTTCAAAGGAGTGGCCTGGATCTGGGTCTACGTACTCGGCGTCATCGGTGACGCAGACGGAATTTGATCTCGGGTCTTTGGTGGATACAGGGTTGCACTCTGTACCATCTACACCGTCGATGTTCGGGTTTACGGATCTTTTCATCCATCCTATAAGGTGATCAAATGACCTGTTTTCTAAGACTAGGACTACTATGTTTTTGATGGGTGATTGAGTTTGGCTTAAGCATTGTTTGGGAGGGAAAATGGTGGAGAACGAAATGAGGAGGAGAAAAAATATAGGGGTTTTCATTGGATGGTGTTTGGAGAATAGAATGAAGTAGCTAGAAAAATGGGGTTTTGGAAAATGGGTTTCTTTATAATTTGTGGGCTTTATATACTTTGTAACATAAAAATAATACTCCAATAATTAAAGCATATAATACAAAATTGTGACCAGGGGGGTTTTAGGATTTATTTGGAAGATCATGAGTGATATTCTAATTAATGTGTTTGAATATACCAATTAGAAAAGATTGTATTGTTTTTAAACTATGAATCTATGGTAATATGGATGTCATCTTGATTTTCATATTTAATAAAAAATGATAAGGGATTAAGGGTGCGTTCTATTTAATTGGTTTCTACTTAATTGATTCTATTTTGAATTTATCCGAGCTTATCAATATGATAAAAATTTATTGATTGTAATTGAATTTAGATAATCCTTCTTAACCCTTATCAAATCTTAATGACTAATTCCGAGCTTATTCCTTTGATTTTTTATTTTTTTTTCTTCTGTAAAATAAGTGAATATAAGATTTGATGATGATCGTGTGAAAGGGTAAGAGGACTACATTCCTTTTTCTTTTCCTTCCTTTTTGGTGTTTAGTGGTGAGTAAAGTAAAAGTACTACTACAACTCTACAAGTACTAGAACTAAAGTAGATACTTAGAGCAAAAACTGGAGTGAGTGAGTGAGGGTGAAAGTATAGCGAAGAAAGTTAATTGCAATCATGTGGACCCATGTTTTATGATGATGTTGGTAAATCTTTTATTCTGTGGATCTTAAATTTTTTATAAAAAAAAATACAGCATTCATATTTGAGTTGCAGAAATTACGGAATTTGATACTAGTGTATGTTCTGTAAAATACAGTGTTGATCAAGTTTGTAAGTTGTAACTTCATTCCAGCAACGAAGTCGGTGACAAATGGTCAATGAGTTATTCTCGTGCTCAACTTTGGTAATTGAGTACTTCCCTTTTTTTTTATCTTCAAACGGGAATAATGGGTAGTTAGCAACTAATTTCGCAATGCATGTCGTGCTATCATCGATTATGTACACGATTTAGGGTCTTAGGTGTGTTTAATGTATAACCTATGCCGCACCAAACTGCAAACTAAATGCACCAAACTGCAAATCAAATCGTATTTTGATTTTATTTATTTATTTATTTATTTTGAAAGAGATATCGTCTTTTTATTTTGTTTAATGGCTTCAAAATTATAGTTTGATTTACGAAATTTTAAAACCACAAATGGCTCGGTTAGGTTTTGTTGAAATTTTGGAATCAAATCAAACCAAACCAAAATGCAAATCGCAATTAACTATTTTATATACTACCTCCGATTTTTTTAGTTGCAATATTTACATGACTTCACTTCCGATGATGTATTATTCTCTAATTGATATGTATTTCATCATACACTAGTTAATCTTCGAGCAATGTTTGGGTTATTAAACCAATATATGAAAAATACTTGTTATGTTATGCAAAAGGCAGCAAATAAACTGTTATGCACCTATGTTAAGAGTTAAACTCTTAATGACCAGCAAACAAATTAAAATGACCAGAATCGACAACCCAACTCATTCTTCATTCAAATAACGGAAATCAATCGAATAGAATATTATAGGCACAATTTTCTCCCAAAATGTCCCATTACGCCTCCATGTGAAAGGGTAAATTCTCATTACAATCAAGCTTGAACACCAAACATAAACAGCATTTCAAATAAAAAGCCTATCAATTCAAATATAATCTTTTCATCATCATCTTGTCAGCTGGTTTGGTGTTTATTATGAATCAAGAAATTACATGAATATGAGGAATTCAATCATGAAATAATAGCTTTCCATGAAACAACACATATAATCGTGTATCACACATGGCCTAACACTCAGTTAGCCAGCAAAAATTCACATTGGCATCCTTTTTTTTTTTTATAGATCTATACAAAAAGAGGCTGCTGGCACAACTCACTCCTTGGTCCTCAATAAACACAAAGCCAACCAACAAATATGTATCCTGCCAATGAAATGTTGTCATGCCTGCAGCTGAAGTAAAATATATCGAGGCCATAGTGCTATTAGCCATTTCTCCTCAAATAAGCAAGTACACCCAATCCAGCAGCAAATGCAGCACCTGCTGCAACTGTACTGTATGCAGATGACCATGCATCAGGCTGAGCATAATCCAGGCTCGTTGCCCCAGAAGCGCGTCTACGACGACGTAATCCAGAGTAATCTAAATGTAATTTTAATCCCTGTTCAAATGAACCAACAATGTTTGAGAGAGTCCTGAAGAAAAATGGAAATTGATAGCAAGCTGACAAAGAAAGCACTAAAATCCAGCAATCCACGGCAATACCAAAGTTTAAATTTTATTGTCCTGGTCAGTTCCCAATGGACACAATGCTAGTTGATAATCAAATTTAGACCAATAAACAAGATAATTTTCAGAGCAGTGGATTGCATTTCAGTAAATTGTCCAATCATAAATCAAGTCACCTTCCTAATGAAGAAGTATAATAAGAACTCAACACCTCCACAAGATATAGAAACACTAACTAGCATGATATTAAATGCAAGTGTGAATTGAGAGCTTCAATTGATACAGAGGTCTGTTCAAAACCCCTAAGATAAAAGACATACTGATTTAGATGAGAATTCCGTTCTAAAGCACAGATGCTCAACATTAAAATTAGGGATAAGAAAAAAACGAGGCAAGCTTTTTTTTTTTTTTTGAACAAATACAATGCAAGTTGTTCAAGCTTGTAAAGATTTATTCCCCCCCCCCCCCCCCGAAAAAAAAAAAAGGGACTTCGCATGTGAGACGGAGTGTTGTATAGTGGACTCTCTCTTTATTAATGATGCATGTGGCCCAAGCCGATATCTAACACAAGTAATATTAATAATGATCAGTTAAATATTTGCAGGCTTCAATACAAAAACCACGACAGAGATCACTTGACAACTCTACTAGCTGTAAAGAAAACATGTCCAAGGCACTTATTACATATTGCTTCTTTTTGTACATTATTACATAAGTTTGTTCAAGAGATCAAGGGAACACAGATGCAAAGAAGAAACTATGTCTTGGCTAATGAATAAATATGAAGAAAAAAAAGTATTTCAGCAAAAACATGAATGAAGGGATAAAGGTTAAGGTGGTGGGGTGTATTCCATGTTTTTTAAGTGGACAAGTTAAAGAAGTTTATAAGTTTTCCCAGTTTTTCACTTGTGGCAAATTATGACCACTTTAATTTGAAAAGGCTTCAACAGAAGGAAGCTCTTGTATGGGGCCTACAAGGACGGCCTTCTAAAGCAATTTCAAGTGAATCCCTGCCTAGGCAGAGAGTATCGGAAAGTATCTTTTGGCCATTGGCATTCTCTCAATATTACTAATAGCAGGGTCAAGGGAACAAGTACAAAATAAACTCACCAAGTTGAGAGAAAATGCCTACGCTAGAAGCTTAGAAACAGGGGTGAGCATATCAGGGTACCCTGTTAAAATTCTTAGAACCGAAACCTGGTGCACCAGGTTCCTAAAATTGGGAACCGGAACCGGTTGCAACAGGTTCCTCAAATTGGGAACCGGAACCGGTTGCAACAAGTTCCTCAAATTGGGAATCGGAACCGGGTAACAAGCTACCATGTCTTGTAAAATATTTAATATTTTTTTTTGCAGATTTTCGTATAAAAATTAGATGGTTACTAATTTATATTGTTTATAACACGCAAGTAAAACAAACTAATAGTAATTGTTGAAAAAATTTAATACATATATTTATAAGGAAAAATTGACATTTGCTACCAGCAAAAGAACTGTGTGTTACATTTGCTACTTGTTAATTTTTTTTTTTTTAATTTTGCTACCACCCAAATCTCTAAAATATTTATTTCACTACCAACTAACTTGCGCCATTACTATTTCCATTAGTTGGGTTTAGCCACTGTTCAACCACCCCTCCCCTGCCGGCGTCGGCGCGAACCCACCCCCTCCCTTTCCCCAATCCCTACGCAGCCAACGAACCCCTTCCCTTTCCCCGTTCTCGCTGCCTCGACCCCCACCCCGAACCAAAACCACCCCTTTCCCCCCATCGGAATCCGTCCCCCTACCCCGTTCCCCCCACCGTAATCGATCCCCCTCCCCTTCCCCTACCGTTTTCGGCCTTCCCTAACCCAAAACCACCACCCCAAAACCACCCAAAACAAATTTAGGGTTTCGCTTATGGTGGTGGTTTAGGGTTAGGGAAGGCCGAAAACGGTAGGGGAAGGGGAGGGGGGTCGATTTTGGTGGGGGGAACGGGGGCTGGGGGGCGAATTCCGGTGGGAGGAAGGGGACAGGGGTGGTTTTGGTTCGGGGTAGCGAGAACGGGTAAAGGGAAAGGGGGTTCGTTGGCTGCGTAGGGGTTGGGGAAAGGGGGGGGGGGGGGGGGTTCGCGCCGACCGAAGTTCTGGGCGTCGGCCGCCGGCAGGGGGGAGTGAAGGGGTGGTTGGTTTACTTTTTTTATAAAAAAAAATTTAATTTTTTATTTTTTTTATTTTTTTTTAATAAACTTAACGGAACCTTAACAACTTCCGTTAAGTAAGATTCCGTTAAGTGGTAGTGAAATTTTAATTATCTGATTTTAGGTGGTAGCAAAATAAAATAAAAAATTAAACGGGTAGCAAATGTAACACAGGGTACTTTCGCTCGTAGTAAATGTCAATTTTTTCTATTTATAATTGTAATTTTGATGTTTATTTATTAAATAAATAAATATAATATATATATATATATATATATATATATATGTATATATATATATATATATATATATATATATATATATATGTATATATATGTATATATGTATATATATGTATGTATGTATATATATGTATGTATGTATATATATATATATGTATATATATATATATATGTATATATATATATATAAAGAGTATAGAATTGGTGTAAAAATTGAACTTAAGTGATACTTTTATCAGGTTATAGGGTACCCTACAGGTTCTGATTCCAAAAAATTGAGAACCTGAACCGAAATATGTTACAACAGGTTCCCCATTTTGCTACCCGAAACCGGAACCTCTTATACAAGTTCCGGTTCCAGTTCTGGTTCCGGATAGGGTACCTTGATTTTTTGCTCACCTCTACTAGAAAGTATGGTGGCATAGGTTTGGACCTACAATTGTTTTATTTGGCTCTTATTGCCACACAATGTGCAGCACTACCAACACCAGAATGGTTATTTTCGGAGGCCCAATAAGGTCATAATTCAATCTGAACTTCCAGTGGTGTTATTCAAGCCAACTAGCTTCTTGACAGAAAATGTGGTCTGTGGAGAGCTTTGAAACATACCAAACCACAAAAGAAGTAGACTTCTTTATTCTTTCACATTTGATCCATCAGGTAAAGGCGAAGCTGGCAATATTTATCTATTCAAATCAGCTTAATGCCTATACAGAGTCTCTCACCTGGAGCACTGTAAAGGGGGTTTGAGGAGCATAGTCTTTACCCTGTTACAACCACCCTCAGCCAATTCACAATAAATAAGCACACGTGTTCAATGGAACATTTCTCTTGCCCACTATTACCAGAAAGCTAAATAGATAGAAAATGTTTGACTCAATTTGAAACTGAAATTGTTTGCTCAATTATGCAAATGCATCCTGGAAAGTTAAATTCATCTACTCAAAATCTCCTTAGTCAATAACCCCCATGGTGAAGGGTTTTATAATCTCATGAGTGAAAGACTATTTAAGGATGTCAGCACTGGGCACCAGGCAAAGAAGATATTTTACAGAACATGCTGTTTACAATGCTTTTAAAAATATTTATTCCCAGGGTTGTATGACGTTGATATATCTTTTTTGTGCATAATGCTTGCTTTGATATTTAAAAAGAGGAGTCCACTTGCAATAATAGAATTCTCTACACATTTTCCCACACTTCCTGGGAGAAGAGTAGAGACCTTTAGCGGAAGGCTAAAACGTCTTCTAACAGAAAGGACCTCAATTATCAGATTATTTGATCTACTCTGCCCATCATGCAGGGAATGCACTATATGGAAACCGTGTTCTGTATGACAACTAAATGTATGGGAAGACAGCCATTAAATAATATTGTTGATTTTATCAGTTTCAAGGATGAAGCATAGATGGAAACAAAATTCAACAGCAAACTTCACATTCTTCCTGGTTGGTTTGGAGAGCACAATAAATCAACAGGTGTTCAGAAATTTAGTGATAGGTCAGGTTGAAATACAGAAGCAAGCTTGCTATAGGAGCCTAGAAGAAGACATAAGCTCAAGGAAGAAGTTCCATAAAAGCCAAAGTAGATTGCCTGGTCCTTGGGTGACATGGACCAGAATTGACATGCGGTTCGATTGTGGATCTCCGAATATTTGTGCTTTGATCTTTTTGCAAATAAAGGATGCTTAAAGGCCTAATTTAATGAGGTAGGAAGGTAAAAACCACAAAACCAAATATAAGAAAGATTCTGGTTGCATCAGTCTGTCTTCTAATGTAAATACAATTAAGATCATACCTGGTTTCCACTTCAGCTTAGCTAACTTGTAATGAACTGACTTAGGAGAGGGTATTATGGGTTGTTTAGTATGTTAGTAGTCATCAAATGTAGTATGGGCATTATGGGAAGTCTAGTATTATTAGGGTAGTAGTTTATAGCCTTAGTATAAATAGAGAGAGAAGAGAAAGAAGAAGGTAGGCAGAAATTTGGTGTAAACCTTTTGGAGAATTATGGCCTATAGCCATTATTGGAGACCGGTGAGCTTAACTCACTATCGAAGATTGACAGCCTTAAGCTATTAAATTATCTTTTGTAATCCTTCCACCACTATCAATCAATCTTATAGCTTTCTTCTTTATTAATTTGCTAGTTAAAATCAGAAATCCTTGCTGTTACATTAACTTTGCTGTGTGACCGAACTCAGCCTTTTACATAACTAAAAGTATCAATACCTATAGGATCCCAGTGCTTGGGTTATGCACCCAGATGCACTGTGCACCCATATTAAATGTAAAGCCAGTCAACATAAAACATGCATGCCTCACTACCCAAAAGCACATAAGGAAAATTACAAAGAACATAGATAATATAACACAGTTCAAACTCAAATGACATAGAGTAAAAGATCCCAAGAATATATATATCTCAAAACCAAAGAACATTTGACCAGGTACACCAACTAATTTGTGATATGACCCCGTAAGATGGACATAATTCTTAATTTCTGTCCATATATATTATTTTGAACAGTAATTTTTTGTAAATTAAGCCAACAATGCTAGACAGAGTTGTGGAGATAAAAAGACAATTGATGATGGTAAACATAGCATAGTGGGTGGCAGAGCAGATGCAAAAATTTGAAAGGGAGATGAAAGATTGATTTTGAAGGGCAAGGAAGAGGAAATAAGGTATTTAAGAAATAAGAAGGGGTTTTTTAATAGTTCAACATATAAGTTTGATTAGTTAAAAAAGTTCAAATATATCATTCATGATGTTGTAGTCACATTCTAAATTCAAAGTTCATGTGTTAAAATCTTATTATGGCATTATACTTCCTCCGTTTTTTGTAGTTGCAATTTTATTTTTACGGTCTCCTAAGAAATTTTTGAAGAGGAGAGAGATAGAGAGAAAAATAAGAGGGACCCATGTGGGTAGGAGAGAGATAGAAATAAAGAAATGTCAAAAATGGAAAGTGTTGCAAGTAATTAACAATTTCCAAAATAGGAAAGCGTTGTAAATAAAAAGAAACGGAGGAAGTATTACAATAGGTCAATAAGGACACTTATAAGATTCATTGTTTACATGGTTTAAAATTTAGGGTTCACTCTGATATTGAAATTTCTCTTCATCCATAATGAAAGACCGTTGCTGCGACCAGTTTTCTAGTCAATAAATCAGGATGGGTACCAAATAAAATTCTCTACCAAAAATCTACCAGCAATTTCAACAGCTGATATTTGAGGAGATGAACTACATGGATAGCAAAGGTGAAGCAAGCATTACCTTCCATCCAGCTAATCTAGCATGATCTACAGCTGCAGCAAGATCACTGTCTGAAGCAAGGACAACTTTATCACCGTCTTCATCTTCATACTGCAACATGCGGCAAGCAGTAAATATATGTTCAACAACATATTCAAATCATGCAATCATAATTATAAAACCCAAAATGGTGAACAAACTATTCGTTTTACCAAAATCTGAGGAAGACGGTTGCGATCAATATCATCGCCCACTCTTTGAAGTATACAAGTAATGAGATCAGTCAAGTTTCGTGTATCTGCATTCACAAAGTAATACTCTGTTAAGCAATTTTAAAACGTTGCTAGACAAGCTCAGTCTTGCCCTCTTCTCTTAAAGACTCTTGCCCTCTTCTCTTAAAGTATTTAAAATGTGGCATGAGATGTCTGAGTATAAGACCTTGTAGGGTATATGGTGTGGAGATGGTGTATGTGAATGTATGTTGGAGGCATAAGGTTTGGTGAGATGTAGAAAAAGTGCTAAGGCTAGCCACGCTACCCATGGCAATGAAGAAAAGCCACATATAGGCTGTGGAGTACGCTGTCCATATCATGGCTAGGAGAGAAGCAACCCCAGGCTGCCTACAAGTGACCCAGTTACCGGAGCCACTTTTTTTCCCTTGTGTGAAGAATATTTCCAACTAGACTACATATTTCATTTTGTGCCAAAGCATAAACACAATCATAATGTAAGGTCATTGTTCTCAAATAAAGAGAGAAAGATTTAAAGAGATCTTGAGAGATTTTGTAAACTGTCATGGAAAATCATAGCTTCTATAGAGCAAGTTTGTGGTTTAACTTTTTTCTGGCAAAGAAAGTTTTTTCCCAAATTGATTGACATTTGTCTATTATTTTCTTTGATTTATTGTTGTTCTATAATCTATATCATTGTTTGAAATAATATTCTAAACTGCAAATAACAGATCTTGACAAACCTACCACATATAAACCGGTGCATCCTGCCACTCTTGTCTTCAATTTTGAAGGCAAAGTTATTTGGCTGAGCTGATGAAGTGAGAAAGGATTTTGTAGTATCGCCACTTTCAGATGCCAATTTAAGGGATCCCTCACTATAATAATACAAAGAGTTACAAAATGTCTCAGTAATATTTTAAATAAACACAAGATCACAACTCTTACCTCCTTGAATCCTCATCATCATCTGCAGGTCCCAATTGCATGGCAGAATCCCAAAATTTTTGCATCATATTGGTAGTAGCCTCAGTATTAATTCCACCAGTATTACCAACCTAATTATCAAATATGAGAACAGGAGAAAATTCATTACTCGTGAACAATAGCAGACCATAGCAGATGCCACTGCACACACATCAAAATACTGGTACAAATGATTCATCTACAGACACAAATGGAAATCATACTCATACAAACTTCCGCCATTCATTAAAAAATGCCTTCAATTTTGAACAAGAAGTAAACAGAAAGTTGCATCTATGAATCAGTTAACAATAATTTAGCACAAATAACAATGCCTCGTCAAATGGAACCAAGCGACGGCCATTATCAAGTGAACAAGGTGCATGTAAGAATCACCACATATATAAATGCATGTAAGAAAAACCACCCATCCCCAAAACAACTCAATTAATGTGCAGGACTGCAGAGGTGGCAAATGGCAAGGACATATTTCACACTAAACAGATGCATAGTGAAGCTGCATTTGATATGAAAACATGTCATGAACTACAAACTTATACATATGGTTTATAAAATTAAAGCATAACATATGGCGGCATTATAAACTAGAAGAGCTGACTTACAGTGGCAACAGCAGCATGGGTGATGTGAATCACATCAACAACAGCAACAACATACCCATCTGTTCCAAATAAAACTCACAACCATGAGAACAGATGCAAAACAGTAACTCAAAGCACAAAGTTACTCCTCTAAACAATTATACCTCTATCCACAACTGGCAAATGCAAGAATTTCCCATCATGCATTGTGTGCAAAGCATCAACTATAGGTGTATCAACAGTTGCACATTCTGGATTAGGTGTCATGATCTACACATAGTAAAAAAAAAAAATGTTGATCATCTTAATTGACAGCAAATACTGGAACTTCAAGGGTTCTGCCTCGACAACACATACCTTTTCCACAAGTGTTGAATCTGGAGGGAGATTTTGTGCAATTACCCGCATTAATATATCCTTGGACCTGACAGAATGCAAAGATGAAAGTAAACAACTGGTAGAAAACTGAGACAGCATAAACTCGAGGAGTCAAGTCCCAAACCCAATGCATCACTTTCCATTTATTAAAACTAATCAGGAATTACCATTAGAAAATAAATAAAATTCTGAATAGGACTTACGTCAAGATGCCCTTTGGTTTATTTTCTACTGTAACAATAGCACAGCTTAAATGAGATTCAAGCATCTTCTTTGCTGCTTCTAAGACTGTGTCAGTAGGTGATACTGTTAGGAGCCTGTGAAATTCTTAAAGTCTGTTAGATAGGCAGCCTAAAAGCTTAAACTACCAATTAAAACTTCCAAAAAAAAAAGAAACATTACCTACTTTGAATGCTCAGACAGAATTGTAGACAATGAAGGCCTGAATATACGATCCCTCAATGCGTCGATGAATGTATTAGGGCCTGGAATCCAAACAGTACTACAAGATTGTCAAAATTCCTAAGAAAACAATCTATATAACACAAATCTATATAGCACAAGATGAAAACTAGCAATATAAAAATTACATCAGCAAGATAAACTGTTTCAGATAGCAGGAGATATTAACCATGCCACACTCTCCACTGACCTGAAGCTGATGAACCCCAGTTTTTCTCAACACCTTCAACAGCTGCAACAATGGCCTTCCCCTTCTCAGCTGCCCTCTCCATACGTGCAATGGCATCATATAAACACTTTGCTATGTCAAGTAAAGCTACAACCTCTCCATTTTCTACAACTGGTAAATGTCTGAATTTCCCTGGTATGAAGTAGCTACTATTAGATATACTTGACTTCTTTTTTTTAAAAAAAAAAAATAAAGAAAGATTTTTTCTTTAAAAAGAAAAAGATTTTTATAAAATAAAATAAAAAAAAATAAAAATAAAACAAAACAAAACAAAAACATAATAACAACTTAATTTCAGCTTTAGAAGAGTTATAATTACCTAGGACCATTTTTTGTAAGGCATCCACAGCAAGAGTTTCAGAAAGAACAAAATCAGGGTTTCTGGTCATCACTTTTGAAGCAGGCGTCTCTTCAAGATTTAGTTCTTTAGCTATAACTCTTGTTGCAATATCCTTGAACCACAACAAGGTTGTATTAAGTAGAATTCTCAGAACTAATACACAGAAAATTGATATGAATGTGACGAATCCTCTTATTTAATTTGGGTGACTCAATAAAATAAATAAAGAAAATAGTTACCTTGTCTGTAAGAATTCCACAGAGTAAAGCATTTGAATCAGTAAGCAATAAGGCATCTAATCTGCGAGCAGCCATCCGGCGACAAGCATCATAAACACTTGTAGTTTCAGGAACTGTAAGTGCTCTCGATAGTCGCAAGCGTTTTACTGTACGTTCTCCAGTCAATCCCCTGCATAAACAAGCAATTAGTTTCCTTTTACAAGCAAAACCACAAAATCAATGAGGCCCACTTTTTCAAGTCCATGCAGCTAAAATTGTCTTATCACACACACTATGTTCATTATATGGTCTGCAAACACTTGCATGAAAGTCTATGTTGGATTCTAGAGTGAATTATACAAGTATCATTATAGCAAAAGCTATAATTATGAAAGCTAGGAACAAGTACATGCTCAAAGAATAATAAAAAGCAACAGAATGTGCACACATAATTTAAGATATGGACATTTAACAGCAAAAAAGGTTATTCTAGACTTAAGTCATCCTGACTAAATCTATCCACTAGAGAGTGCAAGTCAGTAGGGGAGTACAAAGTACACAAAATATATGCAACTAAACCATAAAACCTATATTCACCAAATAAAATACATGCTTCATTTTCGTGTATGACTAAAGGCAGCCAAATAAAATCAACAAAACCACCTAACTTATGATGTTAAGTTGTTAACCAAACAAACAATATACAATATTCCTGTATTAAATAGTCAGCAGAAAAGATATACATACAGATGCATGAAGGTGAAAAGTAAGGCCGGGCATATAAAATATAAGCATAAAAAGTGTTTGGCTGCCCCGGTTATCAGATACAGCATATCCGTTTAGATATATAGTGACTTAGAGACTTCTACTTATAGCATGAGATGATTTTTGGGATGATTTTTCATTACAATTGGGGTGACTTTTAGTGTGCCTATACTATACACCCATTTTATTCAAAAATTTCTGAAAACTGAGTATCATTTCCCAAAATATTAGCTTCATATTCTCCTTCCTACCAAGAAACTTTGACACAAAGATATTTCTGTCCAACAGACACCCTATCAACCTATACACATTATCTTGCCAAAAAAGAAAATTTTCCAAGATAGTTCCCCTTAGTTTGACTATTGAACATTCTGGAAATTTCAGATCTAGTAATTTATAAGGCAACCCTTCCAAACATCTTGAAATAACTTTTGCACCTTAAAGCAAACAATAAAGAGAAACTTATAATGATAAATTGTTGAAGCACAGAAATTGACCACATCTCTGAAAGCAAGGTGAATGCAAGATATACAAATCTACAAAAAGTTAACATGGAGCAGGAAGACTAATTTGTTTTCAATATACAGTGTACATAAGAATTTCCCATGCTGCAAGTTGAAGCTTCTCTTTGAATGCACATTTGTTCAGGTAAGCAAACTAGAAAGAGGAAAACGGAGACAAGTCACAAGGATGTGTTGGAAATGAAGAACTTGTATAATTCACTCCAGAAAGTCTATGTTGGATTCTGGAGTGAATTATACCAATTGCCTCACATTCCACTTCTTGATCTATACTAAGATGTTCTCAAAAGTTGTTCACTTCCTACTCTTATCTGACTGATGTTATACTTTAAACATATCATATAGTCGAACAACCCATCTTTAAATGCAATATATTGAAAGGCAACCTATATCTGAACAAGAGAATTCCTTAGAATGGGTACAATTAATTAGAGCATAGGCTCAAAAATGACAATCACTACAAATCAGCATTTTGAAAAAAAAAAATTCAAGTAAAAAAACCTTCAATGACATAAACCTTTGTCACCCCCCACTTAGTCAGAAACATCTTATACCTAAAATGAATACAGATTGGAGTATCAACTCTCAAAGATAACAAGAAAACATAATAAAGCTTGGCATAGTTTCAACCTCCATGTTCATTACAACCAATATCATATACCGTTAAAACCGGAAACTGGCAGTACCCTAGTAATACCCAACATGCCCTAAATTACAATTTTAACATTCAATGATCGAACTAACAACATAACCTAACCAACAGTACATAGAAAATTAAGAAACTCTTTTCAAGCAACAAAACAAGGCAATGAAAAGGGAAAACATATACGAAGTACAAAGGTAGAATAAGTCATACATTGAGCGTGGAGAAGGGGCAGGCTTTCGAACAGGGTCCGAGGGACCACCATTTTCGGCTGCTTTGTTCTTGGCATGTGAAGATGACATACTTTTCCTACCTTGACTTGTCATCCCCCTTCAATTCAACACCAAAAACACAAATTCCTGATTTCATCAAAATTAACATATTATTAATCAAATTTTCAACATCTTCATTAATCTCCTGTTCATCCAATCATACGTGTCAATAACAACATTATCGCCTACCAAACAAGCTAAAATTATATAAAATTTGCATTAAAACATAAAATAATTAGCTTGAAAAAATAGTTAATTTCTTCAAAAAATTACAAAATTCAATCAATAATTCAAAACATATCCATTAATTCTGACCAAACAATAATCCTGATTTCGTTTCCAATTCAACCATTTTATTACCGCCTACCAAACGTGCCGTAATCATCCAAAATCACATTCAAGCATGAATCAAATCAAATACTATACCGAAACAAAACGGAATACGAATACGTTTCATCAAATTGATATAAGTTAATCAAAATAACATCCAAAAAATTACTCACCGAAAAAACTAAGGATTTGGAAATCAACCAGGTTGAAGAATAACGAAGAAGTCAGGCTATAACAGAGAGGAGAGAGAAAGAGATAGCGGATGATCGGCGGCCGGCAAAAGGTAGGGAAAGTTCGAAAGAAGTCCCGGAGAAGATGCCGACCGACGACGTGCAGGAGGGAAGAGGGAAAAAAAAAAAAAAAAAAAAGGCCGAATAATTTGGAGAAATGTTTGAATTTTATGGGAATCTGATAAATTGATTGTTATAACAAAGTTTTGCACTTTTTAGTTTTTTTTTAGGGAAAGGGACTCGAAATTTTTGCAGATTGTTCCAAATTCGAATACTTAGCGTATGGCAAGCCGGCACGTTACTTTTTTTTTTTTGGGTATAAAACATTTTATCCGTTTTAAAATATTTGCTCAATTTCTCCATACGTGAAGTTTTAGAAGAAATTCGAGAAAGTAATAAAATATAGAGGTAGTGGGTAGTTGAAAAAATAAAAAATTGTTAGAAGCAAAAGTAGTGGAAGATTAGGAGGAGAGAGAGTAATATTCTCTTCATTTTTAAATACCTGCTTCACTTTCCTTTTCTGGCTGTTTTTAAATACTTGCTTAACTTCCTTTTTTTTGGAAAACTTTTACAATATCCTCCCATTCTTCCACTATTGACTTTTTACAATTTTTTTTTTCTCAACCACCCCACTACCTTCATATTTTATTACTTTCTTCAATTTCTCCTAAAACTCCACGCATAGAAAAATGGAACAAGTATTTAAAAACGGAGGGAGAATGTTGGTTCCACTAAGTATGAGAAATGAATTAAATATTGTTAAAGTTTTCCAAAAGAGGAAATGGAGCAAGTATTTAAAAACGGCCGAAAAAGAAAAGTGGAACAAGTATTTAAAAATGGAGGGAGTATTTTTTTTTTTTTAGAATAAATCATTTTAGTATTTTTTTTTTTTGAAGTCAAATCATTTTAGTATGTGAGAAACAAAATGGTCATTGTTTGAGAATTGGCCAATTGACCAAATTGGTAAATAAAAAAGACCTTTAGTTTTGGTAAAAAAATTCCCGTCCAAAAAAAAGTTTTGGTAAAAAAATTAACTAAGCAACAATTTGGTAAAAAAAAATTAAGCCTAAGTGACAATTTGGCAAATAAAATTACTTCATGCGACTTTAAACCCAAAAAATACAAAATTTTTTGACAAATTACTAGCGAATAATTAAATTAGTTCGTTTTCGTGATTTTTTTTTATTATTTTACTAACCCTTTTTATGGAAAATAACAATTTCAAGGGAAAAAAAAAAACACTTGTTAAGTATTGTATCAATTTTCACTTAAGTTTCATACCTTTATTAATGAAATCAGGGGCATTTCTAAGGGTGTGCGGGGTGATCGACCGAACAGGGCCCCCAATTTGTAGGGACCCAAATTTTGGATATATGTATATTAGTTTCATGTTAAATTAGAAAAATAACGTTGGAGTGATGGTTGAGTGCTACTTTTTAAAACAAAGGTTTAAGTTTCAATTCCTTAAACCAACAAATTTTACTCTTTTTTGGGAAGCAATACTAGAGAATGTCTATGTTCATTGAATAACGGCAATAAGAAAATTTCCCTTCCTTATTTCCCTTTATTCTCTCCTAAAAATTTTCATCTTCTCTATGCCATTTCCTTATTCACTCCTCAAATTTTTCAATCCTAACCAAAATCTTTTAATCTTTCCCTTTTTTCTCCCAAAATATTTCAATCTACATTTATGTCTTCTTCAAAATTAACAATTACCTAAAATTAATTCACCCCTTATTAATTTTTAATAAATATAATTTCCAATTTTAAAATTAAAATCCCAACCCAAAATCTTCTAATCTTCCCCTTTTTTCTCCAATTTTAAGATGAAATTAATGAAAATACCGTTAATTTTCTCCACAAATTCTTTATATATGTATTTTACTAGCTCTTTCAATTTTACAAATAAAAAATAAATCTTCAAGATAATCATAATTCTTAATAATCATAATGAATGAATTTATTTTATGAAAAATAATTGGTTATTATATATATTGAATCTAGGGCCCAATTTGAAAGTTGAACAGGGCCCAAAAATATTATCTAATTATAGCCCTGACCCCGTATGTAATGTTTTACAAAGGGGTTGGAAATAAATTGGGTATCGAAATTTAGCAAAATAAAAATGAGATGACATATTAATTTAAAATTTTAAAAGGGAAAAATAAATTTTAAAACACAAAAATAAATTAGATTAGGATTTTAACAGAGTTAATCGGAAAAAATTAGATTTTTCGGCTATTTCACCAAATGCCAATAAGTACTTAAAAAATTCACCAAACGCCATCAAGGTTTTCAAAATTCACCAAATGCCATCGAGATTTTAAAAAATTCACAAAATGCCATTAATGACTAACGGCCCCATCGAGCTTTTAAAAAATTCACAAAATGCCATTAATGACTAACGGTCGTTAACTCCGTTAGTCTTTAAGAATAAATCTTGACATGTGTCATTATATGATTGGATCATTTTAATTATTTATTTTAATTAATAGTGGTCATTTTAACCCTCTATGGATACAAATTAAGCTCGAAATTGACAAAAAAATAACGTAAATGCTCCGTTTTGTGTGTTGAAAAATATTTCGATTAGCGTCTCGTTATTTTTTAACCATCAAAATTGATCGGGTAAGGTTTAGTGGGTCATTTTGACCCTTTATGGATACAAATTAAGCTCATAGTTGACAAAAAAAAACGTAAATGCTCCGTTTTGTGTGACGTGTCATTTTTTTAAGCATCAAAATTGATCGGGTAAGGTTTTGGGAGTCATTTTGATTCTTTATGGAAACAAATTAAGCTCGGAATTGACTGAAAAAACATATATGCCCCGTTTTGTATGTCGATATCGTAATTTTTTTTTCGAAAAAAATGTGAAACGGGGTATTTATGTTTTTTTTTTTTTTTTGCCTATTTCGAGTTTAATGTGTACCCATAAAGGATCAAAATGACCCCCAAAACCTTACTCGAACAATATTCGTCACGAAAATCGAAAAAAAGTATTATTTTTATTCATTATAATAAATAATTATTGTGTATTAATTTTAAAAAGTAATGGCATTTGGTGAAATAATTTTCCAAAGTAATGGCATTTGGTAAAATAAGAATTGCAATAACGGAAAACTAACGTCCATATGCTATTAGTGGCACGATGTGTCATTGTATTGTTTGTCAGTGGCATTTGGTAAATTTTGAAACTTTGATGGCATTTGGTGAATTTTGTAAGTACTCAGTGACATTTGGTGAAATAGCCGTAGATTTTTTGGTCTAAATGTTGTCGGAGTTTATTATTTTTATCAAATTGTCGCATATGGTTAGCTTTTTTTACCAAATTGTCGCTAGAGTAAGTTTTTTTACCAAATTGTTGCTAGGGGTCTTTTTTTATTTACCAATCTAGTCAATTGGCCGTTAAAATTAATACACTAGGGTCATTAGCCCACTAAATAGGGTTTATTGGTAATAGCCCATTTTAGCTATGTGTTAAAATTAAATTGATTCGACTTGAAATGATAGTAATTTGAATCAAATTAAGGGTTATATGCTAAAGATGCATGAGATTTAATAAGGACAAGGGTACGGGTACAAAACAGATACAAGAAAAACGTCGATAAATAAATAAATCTAATAAGTTCAGTGAATGTGATATTTTTTTCTAGTATATAATTGCTAAATTAATGTTGTAATTCTCTATATAATTTAGATATCATCCTGTGCATTGTAAGGTTGTTTTGCTAGTATATATAAATGAGCTTAATTAATAATAGATTATAACAAATTAATGTTGAAAAATGATATTATTAGTCTTTTTTTTTGGTGAAATAAGATTATTAGTCTTATTACCTCAATAAAAAGTGAGGTTGCTGAAAAAACAAAACTTCCAACTTTGTAGATAAAATGCCAAGAAACTCATTGTGATCACGTATATGAGTTGATTGCCCTTTAGGAAGGGCAAATTAAGTTTGTTCCCATTTATAATCTGCAGACTCCATAATTATCCCCTTGTAGAAGCTAAGAATCATTGTCCCGGCTATGGCTATGATGCTCCTAGAATTTGGTTCATTGGGATATTCTAGCTCGAGTATGCAAGTTCAAGTTCTCCATCCTAATTTAACAAATGGGAAAAAAAAAATCAACAATAATTTATCTCCTAGCTGACAAAATTGCAATGATAATGTCACCAACTATTGACCCACCATTGCATAGATGAACGACATAAGATTTCTAATTTCAATCTATACTATTTATTAAAAGACGTTTTCTAAAGATGTTTAGGTGTCACGTGGCACCTTCCTTAATCAATTGAATATTTCATTCACGTGCTTAAAATATATCTTGGTACAAGATTTGAACCACAACCTTAAGTTTTAAAAATATAGTGTTATTAGCTACTAAGTTATTATCATATTGTATATCATTCTATTAAACTTAAATATAAATAAAGATTTCAATCATGGAACTAAAGCAATAACTCGGGACATCGTACGAGCCTAAAACTAGTTTTTTATATTATTATCTGCTTTTAGTAACTTTTTAAACCATCTTTAAATGTAAAACTCAACTTTGAATATTGACACAAAATGAGTTGTTTTTCACATCCAATGGAGATATGGATGAAACCCAATCCACTTCTCACTTTAGCAACTCATGTGATGTTTAATAATATTCCAATGGTGAAACTCTATTAAGTATCCTAATTTCACTTTCCACTAGGGATGGCAATGGATCTGGACCCGACCCGGATCCGTGGATCCAGATCCGTTTTTCATGGATCTGGGTCTTAAAATTTTGGACCCGATGGATCCGGGTCGGATCCGGGTCCTACTGACAAAAACGGATCTGGATCTGGGTCTGGACCCTAGACCCGGATCTAGATCCGTGGACCCGTTTTTTTATTTTTCCTATTTAAAAAAAACTAAAATTGTTTTTTCTTTATTAAAAATGTTGATAATGTTAGTAATGATAAAGATTAACCCTTTTCAAGAGATGAATTTTGGATGCTCATATTATATACATTATCGTTGTTTTTCACTAACTCATATGTAACATCGTATTTTTTTGTTGTTTATAATTTTAATTCAAAATATGAGTGTATAAGTTGGTTAATTTGGGGTTGAACTTAATAACCAACAACGTAAGTTTGAAATAAATTTTTTGACCTGAACATTACATTTATTGCAAAAAATTAGGCAAAATATATTGGACCCGTTTTGGACCCGGATCCGTTGGACCCGATGGATCCGGATCCGGGTCTTCATTTTCTAGACCCGACGGATCTGGATCCTATATACAAAAACGGATCTGGATCTGGGTCCATCCGCACCCGGACTCGGTCCAGATCCGACCCGTTGCCATCCCTACTTTCCACATTATGGCCTACCACATCCATTTTTTTTTTTGTTAGAGATTGTTGTGACTAGAAATTAAATAAATAAATATTAAACAAAAATTATTACGGAGTATCATATAGATAAGGGCCTACTTATTTGTCAATTGAGGCTCAAAGATGAGTATCTAAACTAGTTAGTAACTTATTGGTATATTGATAAAGCTACCGGAGGGGGAGTCATTCGAAGGGTTGATGACTCTTGGTACATTTTGTTTTTTCGCAAATACAATGTT